CCGCTCTCGTCCACGCAGCCCTTCCCGCGGTAGTCCGGGTACGCGTACTCCTCGGGGGGCTCCAGTGTTGGGGCCAGTTCCTGACCCGCCGAGTCCTGGGCGGCGAAGGCGTCCGGAGTCTCCACCTGAGGGGTGTCCCCCCGGGGTCGCACCTGCAGGTCCCCGGCCTTGGCCGCTCCGCCCTGGGCGGCCCAGGCCTGCTTCTGCTTACTCCACGCCTCCCTGCTGGCGAGCCCGCGGCCGCCCTTGCTCTTCCAGTCGCGGCCACTGCCGCCGTCCTCCCTCGCGGGGCGCCCGAGCTCGCTCACCCGCCCGGGGCTGTCCCGAGAGGCGTGCTCGCGCTTCTCCTGGCCGGGCAGCTCGGGCGCCTGGGCTAGCTTCTCCAGAGGGATGCTCGGACTGCACAGAGCCACCATCAAGCAGCAGGTGACCAGGAGGGAGCTGGAGAGCGCGCCAACTGCCATTGCAGAGGAACCGGGCATCCCCGACCACGTCCGGGCGGGCGGGCGGGGAGTGCCGCGGAGGGGCGAGTTGCATTCACCAGCCGGGAACGCGCCGCCGCCAGCCTGGAGCCGCCGTCCCTGCGGAGAGAACGGCAGCACAACTGAGCCCCAAGGCCTGAGCTCGCTGTAGCTCGCGGCGGCCCCGCACCCTACCCCGCACTGCCTGGCTCTGCTCTGGCTCTCCAGTAAAAGGTCTGGGCGTCTGGGCCAGGGGCTTGCCCCTGGGAAAGTACCCAATGTTCTAAAGCGGCATGGGTACACAGAGAGGCCATGTCCGTGGAAAACACATGCCCACAGTAATTCCTTAGGTCATTGGTATTGTTTTAGAAGGTCCAAGAAGAATGAGTGGCTCTCTGGCTGAGGGTGGGATGCAGACAGCAGCGGCTCCCCAGTGAGAACTGGGGCCATGCTCCCTGGAGGGCTCAGGTAAGAGCCACCTAAGTCAAGCACCTAAGTACCCCTCCCTAGCTTCAGACTTCACTAGCACTTAAAGGTTTCTAAATCGAACATTCTGCAGTGAAGTTAGAGAAAGACAAATGGGCCTTTGGTGGGGAAGGAGAGAAGGAAAAATACAAAGCTCCTCCCAGGATCCTGGGGCTCATTTTCAACAACTTTTTTATGTTTATTTTTGGTAAGGCAGCAAATGCCTCCTGCCTTGCCCTCTCCCAACCCCTACTGCCCAAGAGAATGCCTGGGCCCTTGCTTCCCAAAGAGGCTTTATGGAGGTACCAGGAGGATTTGGCTCTGCATTGGCCAACAGAGTTCTGTCCAGTCCTCTGTTCAAGACTTGGGGCAAGGCTGTGAGCTACAACACTCCCGTACTTTTACCAGAAGAGTTGCTTTGATCAGGGAAAGGACCATGGCCTTGAAGAAGACATGGCCAAAAAGAGGAGAGTGGGAGTGAAAGTAAGTGAGTGAGTGAGTGGGTGGGTGAGTGAGTGAGTGAGTGAGTGAATGAGGGGGACAGTTTGAAAGAGGTAATTGGGGCTCTGCACTGGACCTTGGCTACCATTCATTGCACTCCTAGTTTCCCCTAGCCCTCTGATCCCAATTTCTGTGATCCCCAGAGGGGTGGCAAGACCCTAAGATGCCATACGAGTAGGACAACCTAGCCTCTCCTTTTTTCATCCTGGGCTCAAATTGATCTCAAAGCTAGGCTCCCACCTGCACTTCTCTGTTCCCTCCAGACCTTCCCCACCCCCAATAGCGCTTGGCTCCTGCCTGCCCTGCGCTCCTCTCCAGCCCTGACCAGCAGACCTCAGTCTGCTCTGTGAATCCGCCCTTATTTACAAACTTGGGGAGTGAAGACTCCCTCTGACGCTAATACCCCTGAGCGCACCCTAGCCCTGCAGGACGCGGACAGCCCACATGCACCCTCACCCCTGTGGGCATGCACCCAGTCTACATACATGAGAGCAGAGCGCCTGCCAGACGCCAGTACCGCTGCAGGCTCAGAGGCGGCCAGAAAGGGCGCAGCCCAGGGCCGCCCTGGCCCATCCTCCGACCCCGGCGGGGACCACGCGGTGCGGTGCGGTGCGGGGAGGTGCGGACCTGGCCCATGGAGTGCGCAGCCCCACCTGCGCGCTCCACCCAGCGCGTGCACCCCGCTAGGGCGTCTCTGTGGGCGCTTTCATCCAGCTTCTGGCAGCAAGTTGTCGCAGGCGAAACTCCCTTCTGGCGTGGATCTTCCCCAAGTCTGCCGGACAAAGCTCCCGAGGGCTGCCAGGTCCCCCGCCACGCTCCTCTCAGCAGGCAGGCAGCTGCGCGTGGCCCGGACGCCCTGAATCTCTCCAGACCAGGTGACTGAACTCCCGCTACCCCCCTCTGCCCTTCAGAGAGAAAGAGGAGTGGCCCAGAGAGCCGCTGGCGGGCTAGTGGGGCCCGGGACCTGCGTGGGAGTCGGCATGTCGGTTGCCTGGCTCTCTCGTGTCCTTTTGCTGCAGCTTCCGCAGCCGCGTCCTGCCCGCTCCCACGGGGCCCCGCCCCTACTGCCGCCTCTCAGGAAGTGTGGCCTCCTGGACTAGGCGCTGCCCTCCCTCTCCCTAGCACCCACCCAGCCAGAGGACCGCCAACCGCACTGGCTTTTCTTCCACACCTTTTGAAGGACCCACCTGTCAGCAGCAGCTTCCCAAGCTCAGCGGCTGGCAGGAGTCCTTGCCTGGCTGCCATCCTCCTCCCTTGTCTCTCACTTACCGCTGGACCTTTCCTTGTTGCCCCCTTCTTTCCCTTTTTTCTTTTGTTTGATTCCATCCTTCCTAATTGGCCCCCCTCTGGTTTTCCTCTCTGTGGCAGGCTTCCTTTGCCACTGCTGAAATACGGAAAGGAAATCGTTCACTTTGGAATTCAGAGACCTAGTTAGTTCAGCGGACTGTTGGGCGCATTTTCCTCCTCTTTGCATTCAGGAACCCAGGGGGTATAGATGTGATAGAAGAAGACACTTGAAACATCCAAAAGGCATTCTCTCGCCCTTTCCTTCCCCATCTCTTTCAGCTGCCACAAATGGAAACATTGTTTGCTTCTTTGTGTGGTTGATAAACTGGTAAGCATAGATCTGCCAGGGGAGATTGCTTTGTTTTATTTTGCTTTAACTCTTTGGTCTCAGTCCATCGTAGTTACATTTCTTGGATGAAGGAAGAAGGCCAACCAATGTGTTCAGAGGCATCCTTAAAAGGGCACTTGGATAGAAATATCCATTCACAGTGCGGTGAACCCTCTTCATGTAATCTTAAACCTACAATCCAGTTGTGGAGCGGACCCAGGAAGATTCCGTGTGGGTCAGAGTAATATTTGTTCCATCGGGGTTAGTGACTCATTTTTTAGGAATGGAGCACTGCCCATCTTCTGAGGCAGCTCGGATGAACTTGAGCATAGTAGCTGAGCACGTGAACCTTTAGAGCCACCAGATCTCCATTCATGTCTGACACATACACAGCTGCAGAAACACACACCTTTCCCTAGACTTACAAGCTCAGGCCCTCTACTCTGGGTGAGTAGGGTGGGGGGTGCATTGAGATACTTTTCCCCACCGTCTTCAAAGTGGAGCGCCCACTGCCACTGTGCATCCTTTCGCACAAAACCCCAGCCCCAGGACCGAGTAGAAGTGCGCCACAGGGCTCCCAAGGTCAGGCCATAATGTAAGTCTCTATGGAAGCAGCCGCCACATCTTCCTCTGGAGGGGTGAACAGTGGGTTCAAAAGGTTCGCAACTGAGTGCTTGACTCATCAAAACTCTTCATAACGTAGAAACCCCAGCTCCAACTGAAGGGTCAAGAAGGAGAGAGAGGAACAGAAGAGGGTGGCCGGCCTTCTCTCTCTAGAAAACACAATAATGGGCACAGAAGGTTTTTGTGTCCAGAATATTTTCTTGCCCCTGTCCTTTCCCCCAGAGGGTTTGAGCTCTTCTACTTCCAAAGACCCCATTTCTCTCATCCTATCATTTCAAGCCAGTAGATAGGCCATCTTGACCCATGGGATAGGTTAACTGGGGGTTCTCTTTATCTACCTCCTTCCAACTTTTCACCATCTGCTCAATGCATGACTTTCTTGTCAAAATCATGCTTATATTATAAAGAACCATGGATTCCACATTGCCACCCAAATGAAAGGGATAACTTTACAGTGTCAGTGTTGATATTACAATGTGGTAAGTGGGTCCTCCGTGGAGTGGGTTGTAATGAGGTCAAGACACCTTGGTTCAGGTGACAGTTTTTCCCATTACATTGCAATATTTACCAGCTCATTATTTTCCCACCTTTACGTATTTTGTTTTGCTCTTGTCAATAATCACTCTCATTTTATTGGTATGGGTTGATCCCAAATAGAACTAATAAGCATAAAGCTATCGTAGTATGTGCAAAAGATTCTATTTCTAGTTAACATTTGATGGGGGTCATATGGAGGGAATAATGGTGTTCATTTATTGATCCCACTCAATCACAATTCTAGTCTAATCAGAAAACCCTCTGTCACAGTCTTATGCTCACAGTGGAGAGCTCAGAAGATGAGCCTGTCAAGCTTGCAAGAGGAATGACACACTTAGGAATTCATTATGCTTCCAAGTATTCACATCACTTTATTCTTCCAGATACTCTCCGAAGTGATGTGATAGGGCAGGTGAGATGAGAGAGGAAAGCAATTTCAGAAGGATTTCCATCCTTTGTGAGGAACAATAACCATCCAGCCTTGATTAACTAAGTTCAGAAAGTATAGGGGACTTTGCAGCCATCTAAAGAATTTACGATTTACTGGCAATGCAATAATTATGATTGATTTTTATTCCCATTCCTCCCACCCTCCCTCCCGTCCTCCCTCTCTACCTACCTCTTTCCTTCCTTCCTTTCTTCCTTCTTTTTCAATTTTACCAGGACACAGACTAAAAGTGGCAGTGGAAAGACCTCTGGTCAGGGAGGGAGGTGACCTGGACCTCATGATGACTCTACAAAGGACCAAGTTTGAGAATTTAGACAAGTCTCCACATGTCTCAACCACTTCAACATTTTTGAATCTTAAAAACAACGAAGAAAGGCTCTGGAAATAGGTCTGCTATCCTGCCCTATTTCATCCCAGCATGTGATCTCCACATCTCCTTCCAAGCAGGAATCAAATCAAACAGCTAGTAAGAATTCACATTTCACACTGAGCCTGAGAGTAAGTGTTTGGCTTCAGGGCTAGTCCAGAGCACGGTGTAGAGGAGGTCGGCGTCCAGCAGGGTTCTGAGGCACTTCCATGGTAGCCACTCCTGTCCCCTTAAGCGTACATAATCTTTCCTTCCTTCCTCTGCAGTGGCCAAAACATGATTTATGTCACCGTTACAGCACTCATCCCAATCGGACTTTTTCAAAACTCATAGGTATCTGCAACCATGTCCGAAGTAGCAGCTTATGAAAAGGGCCAGGACTATACTATATTTGTCTTCATGTGCTTGAAGCCTATGACCAGGGCAGGATCAAGTGTTAGGAGAGAGGGAGATAACGAGGAAGA